GGTGGGTCGGACACAGTATTAGGAACAGGAACAATAATAGGAACATTAGCAATTTAAGAACAAAAAGAAATTACTAGTTTCTTACGAATTTCTAATTCTAAATTTATCGTTAACAATAACATTTACTTGTTGTCGTTGATTTTTAAATTAAACTGAAGAAAAGACTCAAGATGTGCAGTGTGCCGCGTACCAATAAAACAAAACACAATGTCTGTCGTCGTGTACTTACATCGTTGGTTATAAACTTATAATTATTTTTAACAAGCTAGAAAAATATTTTTTTTCGTCCTTCTCTTCTGATGATTCAATTTTTCAATAAATATTAATTATCATATTTCCATTAAATAAAAAATAATCAAATAGCTTAAAATTGAAAAACACATACGATTTATCAAATTGGGAACATTTTTTGCCTCGAAATCTCAGAGGGGGGCTACGCCCCTCCCTGAGATTAGCGTAAAGGATTAGCGTACAGTAAAGGATTAGTGTACATCATCACTCTATACACTATAACCTCGATGACCCCAACCGAAATATATTTTCCATTAAATATGAAAAATTACTCCCCCCCCCCTCCCCAAAATTCAATACAAAATTAACCCGTTAGTGACGAGACCATTAACTATTAGTGAAGTTGTTTTAGAAGGATCTTATCAAAACAAAACTTAATTATACTCATGAAAAAAATGATATTCAATGAAATTTTTGATTTTTTTTGTACATGAAAATGAACATGACAATCTAAAAAACTTGGTCGTTTAGTATACTTTAAAGTTAACTCTAAGTTCACTAAACATGTATTTTAAAAAACTTTCCATGTCTTTACTAATTTAAATTGGTAAATGAGTTTGTGTCTGAGAGTAAAAGAGGTTTAGAATATTCTACCCCTTGAGCCCTTTAGGAAATAAAATGTAAATCTGAGATAGATGATTCCAACGGCTTTCTCTCACTCTACTCTGAATAGTAGTAGTGTGCCGAAATTGAAATCGATCTCTGAGCGCAAATAGTTGATCATACCATTGAAGATGAAAAATTTCAAAATTAAAACAAATGTTGTTAAATTATATTTTCGTTCATCGAAAATTGGTTTGTTCGAAAATGATTTCGTTACATTTTAGAAGTACTTTCGAGGTTTTGTGATACAATTTGTGAACTAGGCATAGGTCGAAGTTTTTAAAAATTTCAATTAAAATTGTTAAAAAAATTTAAATTGTTATAAAGCTCTTAATTTATTGGTGAAACATTTAGAAAAATATATTTATTCGAAATATATCGGAATTCATTTCGATACATTTTACACACAGTTTCCGAGGAGCAGACAGATGCATCTTAAGGGGTAAACATTCATATTCAAGATCCAATTTTTATTTTGAAAACTAAAATAACAACAAAACAAAAAGTTAAATTTAAAATAAAAAATTGTTGATAAGATAAATGTAAGAAATGAAGCCCTTAATGGACTCTTGTGTCTGTAAACAACATATATCCTAACCGACCCTGGTGGAAAAACTAGAAACGAAAGTTTCATAAATTTTCGTGGCGCTGTAATTATAATGGTTTGACACCAGAGACATCTATAAGAGAGAATATAATTTTAGAAACGTACTTAACAATTTTTCCATTCGTGGAGAGGCTACGCGTTGGAATGGCTATTTATGAAGTGTTATGCATGTGACTCCGTGGCGCAACGGTAGCGCGTCTGACTCCAGATCAGAAGGCTGCGTGTTCAAATCACGTCGGGGTCATTCTTTTTCTCCGAGTAACCTTCTTTTTGATGANTGTATTCTTTATATAAAACATTATAATTAAATGTATTCTATATAAAAAACATTATAATCAATTGTATTCTTTATATAAAACATTATAATTAAATGTATTCTATATAAAAAACATTATAATCAATTGTATTCTTTATATAAAACATTATAATTAAATGTATTCTATATAAAAAACATTATAATCAATTGTATTCTTTATATAAAACATTATAATTAAATGTATTCTATATAAAAAACATTATAATCAATTGTATTCTTTATATAAAACATTATAATTAAATGTATTCTATATAAAAAACATTATAATCAATTGTATTCTTTATATAAAACATTATAATTAAATGTATTCTATATAAAAAACATTATAATCAATTGTATTCTTTATATAAAACATTATAATTAAATGTATTCTATATAAAAAACATTATAATCAATTGTATTCTTTATATAAAACATTATAATTAAATGTATTCTATATAAAAAACATTATAATCAATTGTATTCTTTATATAAAACATTATAATTAAATGTATTCTATATAAAAAACATTATAATCAATTGTATTCTTTATATAAAACATTATAATTAAATGTATTCTATATAAAAAACATTATAATCAATTGTATTCTTTATATAAAACAGTATAATTAAATGTATTCTTTATATAAAACATTATAATTAAATGTATTTTTAATATAAAACATTATAATTAAATGTATTCTTTATATAAAACAGTATAATTAAATGTATTCTTTACATAAAACATTATAATTTGTAAACTAAACATTAAACAAAACAGAATTACATTTTTTATTTACATACATGATGCAAATTGCTTGGAATTATTGCAAAATCCATTCTGAAGCTATCTACAAATTCTTAAAAATTGTGATTAATTGTTTTTCATAAATGTTCCCATAATCTATATCGGCTCGTTGGTCTAGGGGTATGATTCGCGCTTCGGGTGCGCGAGGTCCCGGGTTCAATTCCCGGACGAGCCCTCCAAATCCTTTTATTCTTTTATTTTAAGTAAATTCCGTGAAAAAAAAAGGTAGTGGAGATGTCGGGGATCGAACCCGAGGCCTTCTAAATGCGAATCAGACGCTCTACCACTGAGCTACATCCCCGTTATACACAATATGGAGAATTCAACTTAAAAGTAAATAGAGTCAAATTAAAGTGGCCGCTCCTGGACCAGTGAAATCTGTGGTTTTCAGGGGGAAAACTTTGGCCCCCCATTAAACAAATTCCTGGTTACGCCCATGGATTCATCTCCAACAGCTTCTGAAAATAAAATAATTTAAAACATGAATTCTTTAACTAAAATTAACAGCCTTCATTCGAATTTAAAGATTTCTAATTTGCAAAAATGTTAAAATGAAGATTCAGACAAATGTTAAGATAGGTTCAATTGAGTTTTTCTAGCTAAAATTCCAATTTTCTGATCTGCAAAAAAACATGCAATCTCTCTACCGTGTTGTTTAGGTCTTGGAAAATTTAAAAGCATATTACAATTTTGACCTGAAACCTAACACACGCTTGCTTTTATAGTCTATCTTACAGCGTACTTTCTTACTGAGCATGCGCACAAATGTGTCTTTTGACCACTGAGCATGCGCTGAACAGTACTAAATTATATTAGTATTGGGGAGCTACCGACTATAAACTTGAATATACTTGGTGCATCCGACTATATAAAATATCCACTAATGGGATACAGAGGGGTACCCGGCCAGAGTTTTAATATTTAATGTGAAAACTGTTACAAAGTTTTAGACTCAGTATATAACTTACAAGAAATATAAATCAATAAAAAAGCCATGTAGAACATGTCAGCTGTAGCGCTTACCTTCACTTTTAGTACAGGGTTACCCTCAAAGAATGAGATATTAGAAACGACTATTCGGATTTTACTTGCAGTTTTTTCTTATATGATACTATAAAGTTGTTTTTTATTCCCCTAAAGCGTTAAATATATATAATTCATAAACGTTTTATCCTTCAAAATGTTTAATCTTTAAAGTCTCATCCTTTGTGGGTAACCCCGTATCTTAAAAATATATATCTTATACTTATAATCCCTAACTCAGAGAAAACATTGGTCAAATAGTCGCTTAATAATTGCATTGATGAAAATTTACAAACAATCACCAGGCAGTCGTGGCCGAGTGGTTAAGGCGTCTGACTCGAAATCAGATTCCCTATGGGAGCGCAGGTTCGAATCCTGCCGACTGCGATATCTTTTGTTAATTTTAGCGTTTTCTTGGTCAAAGTAATGCTACAAATTTTGTTTTGTTGACTCTGGAGTCTGGAATCACTATTACCAAGCTTAAATTGTGAAAGCAGTTCCATGAATAAATTATTGACCTTTATCATGTATCGGCTCGTTGGTCTAGGGGTATGATTCGCGCTTCGGGTGCGCGAGGTCCCGGGTTCAATTCCCGGACGAGCCCAACTTTTCTTTTATTCTTTTTAATCTTATAAAAAATAAACCCCGTTTTTTAAGCTAGCTTTATCTTTTGGTATCAAAAATTATGAAAGACCAAAAATGTGAGTTTGAATATTTTAGAGCTTCAGGAATGAAGACCTCACAAATATTATTTCAGGTTTGAATTAACGAGCTATGTGAAAAGCACGTTTTTTGAATAATTTTAAAACCAGGATATGTTCCGAAAACGCGACATGTGCTAAAATTGACATTTATTGTTTCAATATATAGTTTCAGTCATTTTTTATAAATATATGGTGTAATTTTGTTCTTGGATTTAAAGTTATATACTTAAAGTTATATGGTGAATCCCCATTTTACATTAAAATTTTACAGTAAAAAGATGGAGATGCCGGGGATCGAACCCGGGGCCTCATACATGCAAAGCATGCGCTCTACCACTGAGCTACATCCCCAGATAAGAACATGCGGATTTTGTTAGAATTTAAAGACTTTTAATGCTTCAAATCAGGATGTATTTCCTAGTCCAGACGTTTCGAGACTGTCAGGGGGAGAGAAGAGACATTTTGTCACATATACTTTCACAAAACTAAAATCTACATACTTACCAAGGAAGATATTAAAACAAGTATTACTGAGAACAATTTAAAGAACTTTAGAATGAGATATCCTTAATCACGATCGCTTATAAGCTGATTATGTAATGTAAACTCTTCTGATTTTCTTCTTATAATCCTCTTTTGGATAATTATTTAACTTTTGAAAAACCGATTTTGATTTCTGGTGTTGATGGTGTCAACGAACGTAAGTTTTGGATTAATGTGTATTAAGACTAACGTTCAAAATGACAATAGTCGTAAAATAAGTTTTTTTAATAATTTAATATTAACATGATGAAATTTATATTTGTTTAAATGCTCTAAAAGCCGGCTTGTGAACAACTGACTTTAATTCAATCGGATATTAGTCCAATCGATATAGCATTGTATTCGTAATTGTTATCAAACATATTTTTATACTGTAGAAATATCCAAAAAGAGGATAAAGAAGAAAATCAAAATTATCGTTATTATCGATATCATCATTCTAAACTGATAGCTGAACTCTGTGCAATTAATTGCTCCTAATAATAGAGAGAAACAAAATTCCCTTAAACCTCTGGATTGCGGTTTACTGTATTCTGAAGACATACTAACAAATATCTCTCTGTATGCGTTCTGCACAAAATATACTTGCTTGGATTATAAAATATTGCCACAAATCAAACAATAATATTGCTGCATTCAGTCAAATAAAGTTTTGCCACAAATCTTACAATAATTTTTTCCAAAATATACATACCTAGTGCAGGGTGATCAGATTTCATCCAATCAGAAGACGTTATTTGTCCTTTGGCAAATTAGAGCCAAGTATTCCTAAAAATTTCCACCAATCAGAACAACGCATTTTTAGTCCCCGGACCTAAGCCCTAGAATGTTTATTGCACTTTTTGATGCAAGATTTAAAGAGAGTTATCTGATATCGTGAACAAATACCGGTTTTGACAATATACATAAGAGCGTTCCATACCATATTAAATTATCTCCAAGTTATAACGCCAAAATAAAACCGTAATACTCGAAAAAACTAGTATTTTCCGTAAGAAAATTCTTATATTAGCCTTATTCAATTTTTCAAAATGATAGTCCTATAAATCGTAATTTAGACCGATCAGTTTAACTAGAAAGTCTGTACCCACTGAGCACTGAAATTTTTATTTAATCTCATTATAACAAAAATTTGACCTTTTTATAATTGATATTTTCTTTTTTATCCGTTTGAAAAAAATAGCCCTTAATTCATTATTTTTGAGATTTTTAACCCATCGAATTGAAAATAGAAACATTTTTCTATAAATCCAAATTGTTAAATGTCTGTTTAAAAGGTTTTGTATTTATATCTTATTATTCTTATTAATCTTATTAATCTTAACATATATATATATAACTAGGCTTGCGCCCATCTTATTTTTCAATTGTCAAATTTTCTCTTTGTTAAACAAAAGTAAACAAATTTCGCAGATTTTATAAAAAAAATTCTCGATTTTTAAATAATTTTCTAAAATCGAATTTTGTTAAAGGCAAATTTTTGAAAATTTAATCATCCATAAACCTTCCCTGGGGTCACGCAAGGTCCCACAAAAAAAATTGGGTCCAATCGGTTCAGCCGTTTTGACGTTTATTGGATACAAACTATAAGAAACAAAACAGACAGACAAGCAAAGTATATAGATTCTAAATTGTTGGAATTGTGTATTTTTAAATGTTTAAGTATTAATATAATTGTATAATGTTGAAACAGTTATATATACTTACATACTTTTATATAATCCTAATTATTAAATGCGTGTATGTTGAAATGTTTATATATTTATATATATTTTCTCTAAACCCAAATTGTTGAATAAGTATGTTGAAATGTATATATACATTTTATCTTCAAATTCAAATCATATGTGCAGAGTGTTTTTACAAGATATAGTTGGTGGAAGGTTGAAATAAACCAAATTAGAAATAAACGATGGAGAACACTTTCTCAAAACTTTCAAAACTTTTCCCAAAACTATCTAAATAGGAAGACGACAGAAATTAGTGAGTTGGAGCAACCGACTACAAGGAACCCGGTTTGAGGAGTTGACTAGACACACAGTGGAGGTGTAGCTGGCCAATCCAAGATTTATAAGGCTTAAAGTTAGTTGCTCAAACACTCTAAAAATTATCCACCGATGAAAGTGTTGTAAGGGATAATATTAACTTAAGAAAAGTAATGATATAAATAAAGAAAAATTGTAATTTTGTTGAAAACAATTTTCTTTTTGATTTAACTTTTGAAGAAAGTGTTTTTCCTTAATTTTAACTGTACAAGGAAAGTTTTCAAAGTTATAACCATCATTGTAGGATTTGAGACAAAGATTTGAGGTACAATAAATATTTCTTTGATTATCAGTTTAAACTATATAGAACCAGATACATTTCCATTTTCAAAAAACTTAACGGTAGATTTATTTATTTGTCTAGAGTTTTACCCAGTTTAACCTATCTGATACGTTTTGCTAAGTAACAAATCTTCTTTTAATAAATATTTAAAATTTTTGTTTGAATATATCAAGCCTCTATAGCTCAGTGGCAGAGCACTGGTCTTGTAAACCAGGGGTCGAGAGTTCAATCCTCTCTGGAGGCATGGGGAAAATAAATTTTATGAAATTTAAAAATTTCTTACAAGTAACTAACAAAACTAAAATCACTGGCAAAATAATACACAAAATATCACCAAGTATTTTCGGAAGAAAATATTTAAGAATTGAAAAATTAACTTGATTCATTACTTTGATTTTTTGGGATCCTCTTCAATACGCTCCAGTGGCGCAATCGGTTAGCGCACGGTACTTATAGACAGTACAGAGACATGCCGGGGTTGTGAGTTCGAGCCTCACCTGGAGCAAGACCCTTTTGCAGGAGAAATTTAAGGAGTTTTGTAGGAAATCCTAAAAGGTTTTGACAGCGGTGGGATTCGAACCCACGCCCCTTCGGACTGGTGCCTAAAACCAGCGCCTTAGACCACTTGGCCACACTGGCTTGCTACTTAAGTTTCAAATTTTTATTATTTTTAAATATTACTCCCCCCCCCCTCTGTTCAGTA